CGTTAGGCGTTTTAACTTTTAACTTTTGGCCAAATTTGACTTTGCTTAACAGTTTTTGCAAACGTGCTTAGATGAGAAATCTATCAGAGGGCTTAGCTTTGAAATTTCAATTTTGGTCTAATATGATTGTTGGTTGGGTTTTGAGGCTTTCATTTTCAATTTGTGCCGTTAGGCATTTTAACTTTTAACTTTTCGCAAAACATCAACTTCAGTCAATATATTTGGTAAATGTGGTCAGATGAGAATTCTGTCAGCGTAGTTGTATCTGGAAGATTTTTTTTTCTAATAGGATTGTTCTTTTGGTTTTGAGGGTTTCGTTTTCAGTTTGTTCCGATAGGTCGTTTTTAACTTTTAACTTTTAACTTTTGGCCAAAATTTGACTTTTGTCAATTTTTTTGGCAAAGGTGCTCAAATGAGAAATCTGTCACTGCGGTTGGCTTTGAAATTTCATTTTTGTTCTAATAGGATTGTTGTTTCGGGTTTTGAGGCTTTTATTTTCAGTTTGTGCCGTTAGGCGTTTTAACTTTTAACTTTTCGCAAAACATCAACTTCAGTCAATATATTTGGTAAATGTGGTCAGATGAGAATTCTGTCAGCGTAGTTGTATCTGGAAGATTTTTTTTTTCTAATAGGATTGTTCTTTTGGTTTTGAGGGTTTCGTTTTCAGTTTGTTCCGATTAGGCGTTTTTAACTTTTAACTTTTTGGCCAAAATTTTGACTTTTGTCAATTTTTTTGGCAAAGGTGCTCAAATGAGAAATCTGTCACTGCGGTTGGCTTTGAAATTTCATTTTTGTTCTAATAGGATTGTTGTTTCGGGTTTTGAGGCTTTTATTTTCAGTTTGTGCCGTTAGGCGTTTTAACTTTTAACTTTTCGCAAAACATCAACTTCAGTCAATATATTTGGTAAACGTGATCAATTTGCCGTTAGGTGTTTCAAATCTTAAGTTTTGGCCAAAATTTGACTGCGGTCAATGTTTTTGTGCACGTGCTCAGATGAAAATTTCTTCAGCGTGATTATCTCCAAAGGTCATTTTTTATCTAATAGGATGGTTGGTTTTGGTTGTGAGGCTTTCTATTTTAACTTTTTGTCATTAGACGTTTTAACTTTTAACTTTTGGCCAAATTTGACTTTGCTTAACAGTTTTTGCAAACGTGCTTAGATGAGAAATCTATCAGAGGGCTTAGCTTTGAAATTTCAATTTTGGTCTAATATGATTGTTGGTTGGGTTTTGAGGCTTTCATTTTCAATTTGTGCCGTTAGGCATTTTAACTTTTACGTTTCGAAAAAAATTTGACTTTGGTCAATAAATTTGGTAAACATGCTTAAATAAGAATTATATCAGTGCGGTTAGCTCTGGAAGGTCAACTTTGGTCTGATAGGATGGTTGGTTCAGGTTTTTGAGGCTTTTGTTTTGAGTTTGTAGCTCTATGAGTTTTAACTTTTAACGTTTGACAAAAGTTTAAGTTTGGTCAACATTCTTACTATAAGTGCTGGGATGAGAATTTTGATAGCGTGCGGTTAGCTCAGGAGGGTCCTTTTTGGTCTAATAGGGTGATTGGTTCTGGTTTTAAGGCTTCCGTTTTCACTTTGTGCTGTTCGGCATTTTAACTTTTATATTTTGACCAAAATTTGACTTTGGTCAATATTTTTGGTAAACATGCTCAGATTATAATTTCATTAGCCCAATTAGCTCCGTAAGATCATTTTTCATCCAAAAGGATGGTTGGTTCGGGTTTCGAGGCTTTTGTTTTGAGTTAATGTTATTAGGCGTTTTAACTTTGAAGTTTTGATCAAAGTTTGACTTTTGTTAACATTCTTGGTAAACATACTTGAATGAGTATTATGTAAGTTAACTCCGGAAAGTCCTTTTTGGTCTTGTAGGATGGTTGGTTCGGGTTTGGAGGGTTTCATTTTGAGTTTGTGCCGTTAGACGTTTTAACTTTGAAGTTTTGATCAAAGTTTGACTTTTGTTAACATTCTTGGTAAACATACTTGAATGAGTATTATGTAAGTTAACTCCGGAAAGTCCTTTTTGGTCTTGTAGGATGGTTGGTTCGGGTTTGGAGGGTTTCATTTTGAGTTTGTGCCGTTAGACGTTTTAACTTTGAAGTTTTGATCAACATTTGACTTCGATCAAAATACTTGGTAAAAAGGCTCGGATGAAAATTATGTTAATACGGTTAGCTCCAAAAGGTCCTTTTTGGTCTAATAGGATGGTTGGTTTAGATTTCGAGGCTTTCATTTTAAGTTTGTGGCATTAGGAGTTTTAACTTTTATGTTTTTCCCAAGGTTTGACTTTGGTCAACATTCTTAGTAGAAGTGCTCGGATGAGAATTTCATCAGTGCGGTTAGCTCTGAAAAGTCTTTTTTGATGTAATAGGATGGTTAGTTCAAGTTTTATGTCTTTCGTTTTCAGTTTGTGTCGTTAGGCGTTTTAACTTTTAACTTTTGGCCAAAAGTTTGACTTTGGTCAACATTTTTGGTAAAATGTGCTCCGATGAAAATTTTGTCAGGACGGTTAGATCCGAAAGGACCTTTTTGTTCTAGTGGGATGGTTGGTTGGGGTTTCGAGGCTTTCATTTTAGGTTTGTGTTGTTAGACGTTTTAACTTTGAGGTTTTGACCAAAGTTTGACTTTGGTCATCATTCTTGGTAAAAGTTCTTGGATGAGAGTTCTATCAGCGCGATTAACTCCGGAAAGTACATTTCGGTTTAATATGATGATTGGTTTGGGTTTCGAGGATTTTGTTTTGAGTTTGTGCTGTTAGGCGTTTTAACTTTGAAGGTTTGACCAAAGTTTGACTTCGGTCAGCATTCTTGGTAAACGTACTTGGATGAGAATTGCATCAGCGTGATTATCTTCGCAAGGTCCTTTTTGGTCTAGTAGAATGTTTGGTTCGGATTTTGAGGCTTTCATTTTGAATTTGTGTCATTAGGCGTTTTAACTTAGACGTTTGACTTTAGCCAAAGTTGACTTCGGTTCGTATAGAATGTTATTAAATTTTAATTTAATAAACCAAAACCCAAAAAAATTATTACCATTTATTACT